CATCATAGAAGTATAATACCACATAGACATAGTGAAGTGAAGACCTTCATCATACAGTCAACAAGATAAACATCATACATAAAGTCTCATATCATGCACATCTTCTTCACAAGTAGGAAAATACTACAATTTCATGCATAAGGAACATATACATAGGGACATGCATTAGAACAACTTCCAAGAACTTCCTAAAGACCTACTTGTGCAATGTCTAGATGGTTTCATTACTTCTACCTATCCTAAGTACCCTCCCTTAAGTCATTCTATGTAGGGCCCTAGTCATTAACTTCCATTGTCCATTTTTACTTTTGGGAAACTATAGCCTTAACCGACATAGACCATGTGATTTTAAACATAGAATCCAGTGTCATAGAACCCCACACTGAAAGGAGGTGTTCTACCGGCCAAAGTAGAACCAAATATGACATAGATTTCTAGGTGGATACACCAGCTTGTATCCTATGGTGGAAACATAGTTATGGAACTTGGAGGTATATGTGAAAACCCTCTTTATGCAAACATTAGGTATTGTAGTTATTCATTTATGGAAACCCTATTTATGCCCGTTGAGGCATTGTGGTTATCAATCTCATGAGCTTTATGGTGACCTACCTTCCTACCATGGGAAAGGACATATACTCATATTTAAAATCACTTGGTGTTAAGCTAAGTTGCCTTCATTAAAAACCTTTATTATATTTTTACTATATAAATCATAGGTTTGGGGGAGTCATCCCCTCATATGCTTAACTCATAGGTCATATATGAATTTCATCAACCTAGATCATGTAAAGAATCCATTCACATGAATATATCATATATGAAGCATCATCTACTTTAGGGTAAACATGAATACATCAAACAAGGCCCCTCTCTCGACTAGATCATTATACATGTGTGTGTATATACATATATGTGATCAAACCTTTCACATAACATATTCAGTCACACAAGTTCAGATATCAATGCATGAGTCTATAGGCATAACTATATAAGCAATCCTTTCGTAAAAACCCACTAAGACACTATGCACAGTCATACTTCACCCTTTCATACACATCATATTCTTAACATGTTCATATATTCATGTTTCATATGCATAGAAACTTAACATAGGAACTATCCAATCAAGATAGACATGTGCAATGTAAAGACATCGTCCCATACCCTTGCCCATACTAGTACACCTATTAAGTAATACTAGCAAGGAATACATAACATACTTCACATACATATACTTTACCTGCATAGTAGTAGACATTAGTGAATATGAGAACAACCTTTCATTTAGATACCGTGATCTATACTACTTGTAACATGCATGTAAGTAAGAGTGTGTGTACATTGACCAACATGATCAAATAATGCCTATCGATAACTTCTTGAGTCAGCCACCCTCTAAGACCACATTATAATTCCAAGAACATACTACAAAACACATGATAGCATAGGAGGAAAGACAATATAACCATTTTAACAAAAGCTCCTAACTTTAGTTATTTACAATTTTATATAAGTGGTATATGGGTAGGGGATACTAACCATTTTAACACATCAATGGCAGCACCTATACAATACCCTAACAAGAATATATGCATTATCATACAATATCCACACAAACTATATCACAACTAGATAGGAAGACTGTCACAATTACATCATAAGGTGATCATCTAAATCTTTAAATCATATATTCATCAATTTTCCTTAAGGACATAGACAACACATATATAATGACGATAAAGTAAACACCGCCACCATAAGTGGACAAGACCACGCAATGCCATACAAGGATTCATCAACATTAGTATAAAGAAATAGAATAGTATAAGAGTAGAGGGAATAAGCATTTTTACCAATTTCTCACCCTTTGATCATCATTGACCAATACACCTTATTAATAAATAAAAAACATATATAGAAGTATCTATATGTACTTTAAAAAAATAAGAAACTATGTACAAGTTGCTAGAAGATTATACTATAATATAATACAACACATCAACATACTAAGAAAGTAGAATAACATAGATCATTAGCTAATTTCCCTTGAATTGATTTGAAATTATATTTTGTATATAATATCAATATAAAGCAGTATATAAATCTACATTTAACCGTATTGAAATCATGATCATATACTCTCAAGATTAAGGTTACAACATAGGCATTTAGGCTTGTCGATGTGCTAGAGTATAGGAGAATTTACCAATCCTATGAACACTCTAAGGCTTTGATCATTACTTAAATTTTATCAACAATATATTCATTAGTCAGTACCTAATTTTATATGAAATCAAGAAGAAAATAGGCTTGATATAACGACAACTCAAGATCCATCACACACTTAGCTTTTTGACTTCATAGCCTCAAGGAATCTAGATCAATTCATGCAAGTCTTTCTTATAATATTCAATAAGGATTTATACCTACAAAATTTATCCATTATATCACCCTAAAATATTAGCTACAGCAGTTCATAAGTAATCAAAACTCTACACAACCGATCTCATAATCGACTTCAAGGCAACATGTAGTAACATAGGCTATTTATGTTAAAATCATCATACATTGATACCCATGGATCCTTCAACATAAATTAAACATAAATTCATGTAAATAACAGTATATACAATAACTTTAATGTAATTGAATCATAATCCAATCGATAACAAATCAAGATCATAAGGCCCATGCAAGGCTAAATCGTTTTGGTAATGGAACATGGGTTCATCATGCAATTGGATTGAGAACCACTTACAAATCAGTAAAAAAACATCAATACATTCATTTTATGCCTTTGAAATCAGTCTAAGAAATAACCCATGATAGATTTTAGAAGATAGTGTTTGATCATATTTTTCTCTTTTGAAATCTTTGAGAATTACGCTCTAGATGAAAACATAACTAGAGATGAAGATCACAATACCTTTGTCTAGTTGAAAACCTCTAAATCATTATGAGTCATCCATATAAAACCCTGATCCAAGCAGTTTTTGGGCTTCACCAGCAATGGAGGTTTGAAGGGAATTTTTGTTTTTTTTAGGGAAAGGTTTCAATCATGAGAGGATTCTAGAATGGGTTGATCACGTTTTTATGACTTATATACACCCAAAAATAGATAAATAAACCTATTAGGGTATATTTAGGACATGGGGTGAATTTCTCATTCACCCCTTTTAATTAAACAGACGCAGGCTGCCAGTTGCAGGCCACATGCAACGATTGCAGTGATAGGGCATCAAGGTTATGACAGGTCGTGTGTGGCCTCCGTCGCCTGACATTTAGACAAAATTTGATAAAGACCTGAACAAATCATGTATTCATCTATGAGACCTTATTGACTGGCCGTTGGTGGACCAACGATCATCGTTGGGTCCATCAATGGACACTGCCTAGGTAGTGCCTTAGGCAGCTTTGAGTCCTTTTTTTTGGGCCTCTTGTGGTGCCCTTTAGAAGTCGTACCCGGATATTTCCAACGTAATTATAACCCTAAAATAGTTATAGACCTTCCACATGAATTTCATTTTAAAAAAACATGTATAAGACGTCCAAACAGCCTTGGTCCCAATATGACATAAGATTAATGTCTTAGGGGCTATCTTTCGAACGCCTTGGACGTTCGTGGGAATTTGACCTCAAAACTTCACAAAACATCATATAACAACATTTAATATCATTTTAAACCAATTAAATACTTATTATTATCATTTTATATAGACTTAAGCATGCATAGACACATAGGCACATAAGCGAATATTTGTCAAACGTCTTGGTCATCCCTTGACGTTGTACATCCAAATCACATTGAACATTGTGTACTGACTCTAAACCATATAATAAGACATTTTAAAACATTATAACATCACTAAACACCCATCAAAACATAGAAAAACATATTAGGCATCTAGGTGATTTAGTCGTCGAACGTTTTGGTCCTCCCTTAATGTTCGACTTCCAATACCTCTAATATTTTACATACTAACTATATACTATAATTTACGAATATTAAGGACATAAGAACATTAATAAAAACATGTTAGGATCTTGACAGGCTATCTCATTTTCAGGGTCTTACAATTACCATACTTACTCGGTTCTAGCCTTTGTTCTCATAGAGTAATTTACATTAAAGTTTCATACAAAGGGTTTTGATGTCTTATTTATAATGCAATCACATTCACCATACCAAAGAGGTTCACCAGGGCTCCCTTACAATCGAGACGAAGATAGAACATAATGACTTTCCTAAGGATGATAAGATAATATTCCAGCCAACCAACCCTAAGTCCATCATTAATTACAAGAAGAATAACATTACAACTTTCGACTTTAACATAAAGGACTTTCTTAGAATCATTCAATGTCTCATATCATTCATACATTCAAGACTAAGAGACCTAAGCATCCTAAGTTAAGACTGTTGACACTCAATTTTGGCCCTCCATAATATAAATTAATTCATTCGAGCTTCTTAGATTCCAAATGAGTTGAAATAGTTGACACTATAAAGTAAAAAATATTTTTTTAGGCCCTTTTAAAGTAGCTTTAGTCGATATTTTTATAATGTTCTAAGTGATATGTGTTTTTACATGTTTTATATAATTAGTTTAAACTATTCGAAAACCACCTCAAAAAGAATTTTGTTTTACTTAATGTTGTATCAAATTAATTTTGTCTAGATTAATAATTATATTTTCGAGTTATAAGTTTGTAATTGGTTTAATTATTTCATCTTGTCAAAGTCAAGAAGCTGATTAATTAATTATTGTCAATTCATTTTATTCAAATTGTAGCCAAATTTTCTTAGGTTGTGTTCAAAAAATTCATTTGGACATTGACCAATTTCTTAATTCAAATTTTATTTTTTTTCTTACCTATCTTAAGACCGAAATTGGGCCTGTTTCCAGCAGCCCAATCCCATTTCCATAAAACCCACCTCTAATTCCCCACCCATTTCCCTTTGTTTTTTTTTAAATTATCCCATACCCATTGCATACAACACATCACCAACAACGTGCAGGAAAACCGACTCGACCCCAGTTACGTTTTCTTCCAAGTAATACCCAAACCGCGAAGCCCAGCAAATCACTGCGTTTTCCTCTCCTTCTCCCTTATCTTCTTGTACAAAACCGTTTGTTGATATGCCAGATGGAGCAATCTCTATGCTTGTTCGTCGTTGCCTCATGTAGAATCAATGGCTATCCTCTTCATTCTGTTGAGAAATTGTACAAATTTGTACCTGATTTAGCTGGCAACCTTATCCTCCAAGGATTTCGAATTCAAATTCATTCTGTTTTCCCCCTTTTTATCAAACTTTAGAAGTCTCCTACAAATACCCCTGTCTCATTCTTTGAATCTGTTGGTCTTTTTTGTGACTGAAATAATACAAGAAAAAATATTCTAACGGATAGAAGGAAATACAAATATATAAAGAATCCCATAGAAACAGGGGAGGAGAACATGTTCAAGAAAATATACTTACATCATCTTAAGAAAGGAAATAGATAAGCTCATATACATATATACCTATCGAAGTCGAGTTAGAAGCAGAAGTATTGCTTAATTCTTGATTGTCGTTCGAACTCGAATTGTGTATTGAAAATGAGTCCCCTGCTAGCACCGTCTCAAGTTTTCTGCCGCAGAGAAGGTGAACTTCTTCTATCTCAACTCACTTGTTATTTTATTTTGTTATGTTTCAGTAAACATGATGGTCTCTGTTGGTTATACCCCTCTTGCTTGTTTGTTTTTTATCCTCTGTGATAGTTATGAGAGTTTCATCTGGGTTAGAGTAGTTTGTTTCATTTTTGAGGTCGATATATTCGTTAATGTGACATGCTCGTCTTCAAGCACTTACGGAGATATAGTATAGAATGAGAGGTCTGTCGATTTTGTTCATAGGATTTGAATATGGTATGTTACTGTTGGATTGATTCTTGTAATTTTTTTAGCATGTTCTCATTCTTTTACAGTGTTAGACTCGAGTATATGGTTCAAGAATACATATGAGGCTGCCTACTTTCTTTGAAATATTTTTTTTAGTCTAAAATCGTTGTTCTTCTCCTTTATTCCTTCTCTTCGGTCATCATGGGTGGGCGTTTTCGTTTTGCAGTCGATGTTAATCCATTACTCTCTCGTTTTAAGTTGGATATGAGCCAAAACACTAGTTATTTGAAGCTCTTTTCGGATGTTTATGGTATTAAAGGGCTGGTTTCACTCTGTTGTGGCTTTGAAATATATATTTTCTGCTTTTAATATGTACTGAACCTCATGGCTGCTTATGTTGATCCAATGTGTTTTTTTCCTTGTTAGAAGTCGGAGAGAATTCCTAAAAAAGGGGAAGTTCACCTATTCGTTCTCATGCTTGAATTTTCATTTACAGTGACATAATTTGTTAGATTTTACTCACTACAGTTTGTACAATAAGCATAAGTTCTTACTTAGACTTTCTTTCCCGTAGCATTGGTTTTTTTTTATATCATGTCTGCCTTACTAAAAATGCTTAACCTTATTTAGTTGGATCAGTGCCAATTTGATAAGCCGACTACGACATTCATATCATAATTATTCTACCATGAATTGTTCCAATCATGCACAAATTGTTCATTCGATAAAATGCAGCACATTACCTTTGCATTTTATGTTGATTCTGATTGTTTATGAGTAATTTTGTACTCCCATGAGCTATAATATGCATGCATGAAGTATATGTTGTTGCCTAATTTGTCAGATTGGCATATCGATTTTGTACACTTTTGTTTGATTCGTTTGTTTTCTTTTTGAGACATATATGTAATTTCAATTTGACTCCCCTTAAAGTTGCTTCTTTAGTAAAATCTGCTTTCATTCAAGATATATCTTGTTTATCATATTATTTCATATGCTAACCCATTTCTATATTATTGCATGTAAAAATTCCTTTCGAGTCCTTACGGACTTTACTTCATCATTTTGCATTATCTCTCGTTGAGCCGTGTAGGCTCAAACCTACCCCCCCCCCCCTCCGCGTCTCTGCTGTCGGTCAGCCTCTAGAAAGACGTACAGGTAAAAAGCAGCAAATACACTGCTGAGAATTAAATTGCAGATCCTCCAAAGCCTGGAAATGGTCGGTTATACATGTTTTATATACTGATATACAGGTCGAAACATGAATAGGGGGGCCAAATTCGAAACGCAGGTTAATAACAGTAAAGATACACTGCTGGAAAAGATATTTCAGCCCTCAAAAGTCGAAAATTAAGCTGATATACAGTCTGTATACACTGGTATACGGTCAAAATATATGGTATATAGTTGAAAATGTGCCATTACAGGGAAAACGCAAAAACAAAATATATGAATATCTGGATGAAAATTACAGGTGTGGGAGCTCAAGAATTAGCTATATGTAGTATGTATATACAGGATATACACTCAATGTATGTCATGGAGGAAAAAATGGAAAGGGGCCAAAAGCCCAAGGAAAATCCAGCAGGCCCAAATTGGTTCCAAAGTGGGCAAGTTTTGGGTCATTATTTCAGAATTAGGACAGGTGGGCCAAAGCCCAATTTGGTGAATTTGGGTAATTAACCCAAGTTAAAATACTCTTTCCTCCTCCTCCTTTATCTATATTAGTATTATTATTTTTGGATTGACTAACACTTTGATTGAATTTTGTTAATTCCCAACGATAGCCATTTATTGTAATACCTATATATTTTTCCTATGTCTTATTATTTGGTTTGATCAAATGATTTTGTTAACGCTTAATCTACTCCCTTAGAATAATTCCTTTTAGTTAATTACCTTAAAAGAATAAACAATCAAATAGAGTAGCGACAATAGCAAGTAAATAATTTAGAGGAGTTTTCTTCTACTTAGTTCAAAATAAAATTAATAAGGTTATTTAGTCAAGTCGCCGGTCAACCGCGAGTTAGTAGGCATTCCGAGGTTTTAACACCTTCTCGGAATGTACATTTGAAATTCCTACCTTTTTTCAACTGATTTTTATCTGTTTTAAACATATGAAATTAACTATGAAATTAACTATGGATTTCCAAACATATGAAATTAACTATCATGTTTTAGCACACATCTGGAATCCAAGCCAACAACTATTAACTACAACAATGTACTAACATAAACAGGGACACATATTTTATTTTTTTTATTTTATATATTTTATTTTATTTGAAAAAAACTACACCCTAACAAAATGAATGCACAAACTCAACAGCAAAATATGCAAAACAGTAAAAGCGGGAATAAATTTTGAATGAGAGAAAGAAGTAACCAAATTTCGATAGCTCAAAACTAATATAGAAACAGTCATAAAAAATTAGTCTTTTCATGATTTGAAGATGAGAAAAAATAGTGACAACGCTACCAATTTTAGAAGTAACAAAAGGAAGAGATACACGGCAAGAATATAACCTTTTGGAAACAAGACGTCTTAAAAAAAAGAAGAAAAAGAAAATCAATACTTTAATTCTCAACTAAGTAAGTATTTTCCAGCATTCTTACCAATAATTTAAAAAAGGAGAATAGACATCACTCTTAAACAGAAACAATGAAATAGAGAAAGAAAGAATAAAATCTATTATATAAATACGATTAAATCATGGATAAGACTAAGAATATCTTCTCAAAAAAATCACTTGACTACCACACACACGAGCAATACACCGAGGAGAACAAACTTGTTCAAGAAATGAAGAGAATTATAAGACCCCGAAAATGTCTTCGGTTTAATAGAGCCTAAAATGATTTTATTTATGTTCTAAGGTCCTAAATAGGTCTAATATATAGTGTAGAGGCAGTCTCTAAAGTATTAGGTGCATTGGAAGTCAAACGTCAAGGGACGACCAAGATGTTCTACGACTAAGTCGCCTATATGCCTCATATGTGGTGTTATGTATTTATGTGTGATTCATGAGGTTTTGAGGTCATTAAATAATATTATAGAATATAGGTAGTGTGTAAAATTTTGTTGACTTTTGATGTCAAACGTCCAATGACATCCATGATGTTCGATAGATGTTCCTTGAAATGACCTTCTATGTCCAAGCATGTTTCATCGAGTTTTACGTGTTCGTTTTGGATGAAATTCATATGAGATGTGTTAAACTCAGATACAATCATAATTTGGTTAGAAACAGCTGGGAAAACGTCCCCAGTAACCAACCACGGGTCCTTCAGGAAGGACCAATGTTGGTGGCCAAAACTGCCTAAAGGTAGTCCACCTACGGAAGGCAATCGACAGCCAGGGGCCTGGTCGACGCCCCGTAGGTTGTGTAAGTTATTGTATCCTTAGAATAGGAAGATATGCTTCCCTTTTCCATGCTCTGACTCAATCGACGGTGGATAGCACGGTCTGTATGTGGACTGACGCCCCATCGATGGGTCAGTCGTTTGTGAGCTTGTGTCTGCGTGTAACTCACTGTTAAGTTAACGGGTGACTTGTAATTTCACCCCACTTATAAATAGTTGTTTGGTGGTATATATGGGGTCTTTTGGGTATTTTAAATTAACATATAATCCTAAAACACATTGAAGAATTCATTCTCCAAAATCAAATTCCCAATTTCCTTAGAATTCTTCCAAAGATTCCATTACGTCCAAAATCAAGGAAGGGCTTAAGGTGAAGTTTTGAGTGGAAATTATTTATCAAAGATAAGAATTATCTTCAACAAGGTATGTATATTGATCCTTGAAACTCTCTTCATCAAGGAGCCCCAATCCTGAAGATGATTTCAAAGTTTCTAAAGTTTAATTGTCTAATTTCATAATTCTACCATGGTTTCTTGCATTAATGATTTCAAAACTTTGGATGATGATTAATTGATATTATATTGATGATTTTAATCTAAATTACCTATGAACTCATTAGTTGAATATACCCTAGATTTTTTACTAAGTTATGGGTTACTTTATATTACCTTAATGTTGTTGAATTATTGTGTAGATTTCTATGAGCTTTCTAATGATTTAATAATTGTATTCAATTGATATATAGGTTTCTTATATTGATAAATTTCTATTGAATTTACGTAGTTTCATTGATTGTATTAGTTTCTTTATCGAATTGTTGTTCATGGCCATTGGTAAGCGCCTTATGTTTATGAATTTGATGAATTAGTATGTTAATTTGTTGAGGATGTCGAGGTGGTAACATGAACTATTTATCTTATTTTTATGTTCTTTATATTTCAATTATGTTGTTATTGTTATCATCCACTTATGGTGGGGGTGTTATGTGAATGGATGTGGCTTGTCGGTATTACTTTATGCAATATGATGATCATGGCCTTGTAGGCACTAATTGATATAATGATGCTATTTGTGTAGTTTATTATGTGAAGTATGATGATATCTGTCTACATGTTAAGCAATGTAAAAGTATATGTGTTTTCATTATGTTATGTAGGTGATCATGTTGGATTATGTCTTTGACCTTGTGATCATATTCTAAGGGTTGAGTCTTAGTTATTCTTACTTGACTAGATAAGTCTTTATTGGTAACATTGATAATGTAATGATAGTGTATAATATGAGTTGAAGATGATATGGTTATGCTAATGTATTTCTATAAGGGCTTGTATTATGAGTTAAAGTTAAGTATGTGGTGTGTTGTCTGGGTTGACTTGTGTCACTATATACATATATGATTATCGATATGTGATGTATTTACTTAGAATGTTGAATATATTAGTCTTGAATGTATGAAAGACATGTGACTTTAAATGAAGATAAGAGGGTCTTTTATGTGAAGCCTTGAACCTATTAGTAAGGTTGTAAATGTTGAAGTCATAAGCTGTAATGGTATCCTTTAAAGTAAAGAAATGACGGACTTAAGGTTAATTGGATGGAATTTCATAAAATTAATCCTTAGGAAAGTCATCATGAGCTTCTTATCTCCATTAGAAGGTAGCCTTAAGAGGACATCTTTTGTAGGGTAAATGTAATAGGATTATGAACTTGTTGTGGAACTCTTTTATGTGAACCTTATGAGTGAATTACTGTATGAGAACGTAGGTTTGACCCGAGATAATATGGTAATGAAGTAGTTCTAGTCAAGTATCAGACTAGATTACAAAGCATGCCCTTCATATTCCTTAACCATGTGCCTAAATGGGATGTGTCTAAGTTCTACCATTGGAAAGTAGAACACCGTCATTTGAGTTAATTGGAACTCCTAATTCCATGTCTAGCTATCATGGTCTATGTTTTATATTTTCTATTCTCATCATATGGGATACCTACTAGCATTGGAGAAGTTCTATGAAGTTTAGGTAATGGTATGGGATGCTATCTAGACACTGCGCAATAGGCTTTGAAGGTGTTTGTTAGAGTCCCTTGGTCTTGTCCAAGACAATTACTTGAATGTCCTTTATGTGATGTATAATTCTTAATGAACTAATGAACGGATGACATAGTACCTATCTAGAGTAGTTAAGGGTTGTCTAGTTAAGGTGTGAAGGGGCATAGGAATAGTCACTTCGTATCTTATCAAAATGAGTCTTATGAATGATTCTATTTAGGGAAGTTGTTGATTATGTGGACATTATCCGAACTTAGGAAATCATAAGGATTATTTGGTTAGTATTGGAGAGGTGAATCATGAATGATATCTTCTTGATCTACTTGAGTAAATCTTTTTAATTGCCATTGATGAGGAATTGTCTAGTATCTATGTGTTGATACATTTGGTAGAATGATTCTATCCTAGGTAGTCTAAAGGATCTCTTGAGTGTGTGTAAAAGGGATAGTATGGTGGTCGCTTCACAACTCACTTAAGTGAGACTTAGAGTCACCTTTTGTTGGAAAATCTAACATTTATGATTTTATGTCTCGAAGTGTGTGTGTGACTCATCATAAGTGTTCTGAGTATCATTTAGGTATGCGAAGGAAGGTTGTATGGGTAGTCTCTCGTTGTATGGCTTAAGTGAGTCTTAGGTTTACTTTAAGTGAGATTATTTAGTACTAAGAGATGCCTAAGGTGAAAGTAAATTTATGATAATTGCTTAAATGTTATTATGTGTGATTCTAAGTGAATAAATTTAATTTCTTATGACTATTGTATGACTTCTTGTAGATCTTGACCATCGATGTAAGTCACAACACATCTATGGGTGAGAGGCTATAGGACGATAGAGTTTTCCTTCTTTTCTACTCCTATGCCGCGTCGTAGAGGAAAAGTTACGAGTTCTCTTTTCTAATGGTATCGATTGTGTTTCTAAGAAGATGAATACGAGGAGGAGACAAACTAGGGGAGTTGAGGAGAATGAAGTTCAAGAGGAGATCCCTCCTTAAGTGGAGGAAGTTGAGCAAGTTCCTCAAGGTGCTCAAGGTACTCAAGATGGTCAAGTCCCTAATAAGGATGGAGGTTATAATTCCAGAGTTGATTAAAAGGGATATTAGAGAGGATTTGGTTTATTTAGACCAAGCCGTGACTACTCAATTAAATTTGAGTATGATGCCGAGGGTGAATGTGGTGGAAAGTACTATGACTTCTAGGTTGAAAGATTTTGTGAGGATGAATCCTCAAATTTTTCTTGGATCTAAGGTGGGAGAGGATCCACAATAGTTTCTTCAAGTAGTACTTAAGGTGTTGAGTTATATAGGAGTTACATCTTGGGAGAAGGCGGATTGGCTTTGTTTCAATTGAGGGATGTTTCTCAAATATGGGATACTCAATGGAAGGACAATAGACCTGAGGAATTGGGTCCTATTGAGTTGTAAGAA